ACTTAACACTGAATACCATTAATTAGGGTAAACTTACCAGGTAGGTTACTGAATGTGTGTCTCTTACTCCCCTATCCCCCAATATGTTCTCTTTTTAAGCCTTCTCTTTTCCTGTTGTGTTTCTACCTTCTTCTCACTGGAGTCATGGCTTCACCATTTGCTTACTAGGTGATCTTGAACTGTTTATTTAATACCTCCATACATTAGTTTTTTCATTTGTAAAAATGCTTCAATAATTTTGCTTGCCTTGTAGGATTATTGTGAAGGCTAAATAAAGTGCCTCCTGGAATGGAAGCTAGCACTCTTCAGCCATTAATATAGCTGTTATGCTCATCAGCTGTTGATAATTTTATTAACATGTGGACTGAGGTCATTTTCAGTGCTTTGATGCTTGTAACAATGGTGGAGTAAGTTCTTGGGCATGTGTGTTTAGGTGCTTATGACCTTATTGTTTTGTAAAATAGATTCAGTGTGGTCGTTGTAACAGTGGTCCCAAATATTTCACAGAAAACTGCAAAAATACTACATAAGATTCCAGATCTACTTCATTCACTTTTCTCCGGCCATAATATCTTCCATAACTGTAGCATAGTATAAAACCCAGGAAAATGATATGGGTACAAGATTGGTTAAGTAGTAAGCCTTGAATCCATTTTATTTCTCCCAGTCTAACCAATGGTATCTTGATTTAACTCCCTTTCCATTGACCACTGTTAAATTTGACCTTCTTTTCATGTGCATTATTGATCATCCTTGTTCCATGTTTTCTTTTTTGGCAATACTGTAGTTTGGGCTTAGGACCTTATACTTGCTGTGCAGGCACTGTACCATCTAAGCCATGTTCTTTGTTTACCCATGTTTTCAAATGGATTGTTTGTGTTTTCCTAAACGAAGCTTTTCTTAGGTCTGTAAATCTTTTGCAGTTAATTATTCCAGCTTTGTATATATCCTTTCGTTTTGTAGGTTGTAATTTTAATCCTGTATAGAAATCTTTATTTTTGTATAGTCAAAATGTTTCTGCCTTTTGTGGTTTTGAGTTTTTCTCTTGTAGAGAGGTTTATCTTCTAGGTTGTAATATTTTCTTTTAATGTATTTCACTTGTCTTTTGGCTTTTATTACTTTTGCAATATGTCTCCTCTGTTGTCCTCCATCCATTTTTTGGGGTGCAGTCTTCCCTCCAGTTTTGACAAGTTAGAACTTTCTCAGTGTAAAAGGTGGTGGAGCTGGGCACTGTGGCTCACACCTATTGAGGATGGGATCCGGAGGACCACAGTTCAAGACCAGCCTGGGCAAGTAGTTTGTGAGATCCCATCTCCAAAATAAACAGAGCAAAGTGGATTGGAGGTGTGGCTCAGGTATAGAGCACATGCTTTACAAGCATGAAGTCCTGAGTTCAAACCCTAGTCTCACCAAAAAGAAAAGAAAAATAAGAAGACAGTGTTCATATGATTCTGCCCAAACCAACAGACAGTTGTTACCCTTGCGGATACCTAAGATATTGCGTAGACTCGTTCATTTATCTATTTCTTATTTATTTTATAATCGTTTGTTTATTTATTTATTTATTTATTTATTTTGGAGTAAATGAGGTCTAAACTCAGATCCTCATGCTTATTAGGCAGGCGCTCTGCCATTGAGGCACACCCTCCAGCCCTTTCTGCTTTATTTTTTTCAGATAGGTCTTGTGTTTTCACCTGGGCCTATACCTCCCATCTAGCTGGGACCATAGGTACATGACACCACATCTGGATTATTTTGATAAAATGAGGTTTTGCTAATTTTTTTTGGGCATTACTGGGGTTTGAACTTAGAGCTTTGTGCTTGTAAGGGAGGTCCTATACCACTTGAACCACCCTTCCAAGCCTTTTTTGCTCCAGTTATTTTGGAGATAGGTTCATTACTCCTCCCTCTTCCTCAGCTATTATTGGAATGAGGTCTCCCAAACTTTTTGCCTGGTCTAACCTCAAACTTTGATTACCCTGATCTCAGCCTCCTGAGTAGCTAGGATTACAGGCATGAGCCACCAGTACCTGGCTCACGTGGACATATTTTATGTCATTTAAAAAATTTGAGGTCCTGCTGTCTTGCCCATACTGGCCTCATACTGCTGAGTTTAAGTGATCTCTTGCCTCATCCTCCTGAATAGCTGGGGTTATGGGTATATGCCAGTAAGCCTTTCTATTTTATTTTATTACTAGGCTTTCCTGTGGTGGCATTGGGTTTGAACTTGGCCTAACGCTTGCTAGGCAGACACTCTTACCACTTGAGCCACTCTGCTAGCCCATATTTTATTTAAAAAATTGTTTTGTGTATGTGTGTGTGTGGTACTGGAGAATGAACCCAGGGCCCTCTTGCTTGCTAGGCACATGCTCTACCACTTGAGTCATGTCCCCAGCCCTGCCCCGCTTTCTTGGTGATTTGAATTCAGGTACTCTAACAATTGAGACCACACCTCCAGCCTCCTCTCCCCTTTTAAATTTTTCGAGATAGGGCGTCACTAACTTTGCTTCAAACTGAGTGCTGGCCTCTACTGTGATCCTCATGGGTCTACTTGTGGAGTAGCTGAGGTTGTAGGCATGTGCCACTATCCCATCTTAAAAAAAATTATTTTAGCCTGGTGCCTGTGGCTTACGCCTGTAATCTTAGCTACTCAGGAGGCAGAGATCAGGAGGATCCTGTTTGGCAGCCAGCCTGGATAAATAGTTCTGAGATCTTAAAAAAAAAAAACCTATGACAAAAAAAGGGTAGGTGGCTCAAGGTGTAGGCCCTGAGTTCAAACCCTAGTACCACAAAAAAAAAAAAATTGCTTTAATCATACAAATGTATGGGGACCGTTTGGCTGTTCAGGACATTTATACAATGTTTGATGATCAAGTCAAGGGTAGTTAATATTTCCATGTCCTGAAACATTTGAAGAATTTTTGATTAACATGTAATAATTGTACATATTTATAGGGTACACTGTAGCATTTCAGTACATGCATGTATGTACTGATCAGATCCAGCAATATTTCCATCTTTTTATCATTACTTTATGTTTGGAGCCCTTGAGTTCCTCTGTTCTAGTTATTCATAAAACATATAATTGGTTATTCTGTACCTAGGTTATTCTGAAGAGGTTCTGAATAGGTTATTCTGAAGAGTCTTTCCACTTTTCAGTGGAAGCCTAGAACTTACTAGTTCTCTATAACTGTGTTTGGGTACATTTCGTCTAACCTCCTACTTCCTGCCTGCCTATCCCAGCCTCTAGTGACCACTAATATGCATTCTAGTGACTTTTCAAAACACATCCTCATGTGAAAGAAAACATGGGGAATTTGTCTTTCTGCGTCTGACGTTTCACTTTACTTAACTGCACATCTTCCAGTCCCGTCTATGTTGCTCGCATCCTCTATCTTTGATAAGCTTATTTTTGGTTACTGAGTAGCACCAGCAGAGGGAGGGAGAGGAGATGAGAATGTGCAGTTAAGCTGCCTATCCCTTAGGTGTTGTAAGAAATTAACAATCAGAGACTAGACCACTAATTCATATATATATATTTTTTGCATTTGGACTTTCTGTGTTTGTCCTTGCTGCTTATATTGTATTTTTTCTTGTGTGAAATATCCTAATATCTTATCCAGTGATGTTTTCACCAATTTCCTTAGATACGTGAACACATTGCCTTTCAGTATTATGCCACTGTCTTTAAATACAGTAGTTCTATCCTGATGTTAATAACTGATTTTTAACTGTATAGTTCTACTGGCTTTGTTTTTTGTGTTTTTAATTGTCCTTATTTGAAGCTCTTGTTTTAATTTCTTCTAATTTCTTTATCTTTTTATAATTCCTATTGCATGAAAACTAAAGGGTTAGTCATCTGAGACAAAAATCATCTTACTCTTTTTATGACAGTCTCCAGTTTGATATTTTATAATATACTGCCTAATACATGCGATTCCATATAGTTTAAAATAAAACAAATACATCAAGTGTGCAGCTCTCTTTTCTCAGTGTGTGAACCAACATTAGGCTCAAAGGTAAAACATCAGTGCCTTTTCCTTAATGCAGGGCAAACCAAGAATTTTTATTGCAGGTTTTTGTTTTATTTTTTTTTAAACAAACAAGTATGAAAACATAGGAAAGTGAAAATCTGATTGCTGTTGGAAATTATTTCTTTAAAATTTTGTTTGTTTTAAGGCAAGGTCTCACTGGTAGCCCAGACTGGCCTCTAAAATACTATCTTCTTGCCTCAGCTTCTGAGTGCTGCGTTTATAGGGATATGCCACCATGCCCTGCCTGGAAATTAATAATTTTTTTGTGAGGACATAACAAATTATTATATATCTAAAATTCTAGAAAATGGAATTAATTTAAATACACATTTATCCAAGTTGCCACATGCAAAGTAAATATTCAAAAGCTGACTTACTATCTTTTTAAAGATGATCTGATGATGATTTTGAGTACAAGAAACCATGGCAATATTATAAGTCTGTGTCGTTTTTCCCATTTTCCTTTTCCTTTTTCTTTGGGCAGTACTTGGGTTTGAACTCAGGGATTCGCTCCATTCCCCGTTTTTAATATTTGCAAAGCTTATGCTAAATAAAATAGAACATTTGTAAAATAGATTTATGCTAGGCATATATTTTTTGAATTAGCATACATGAATAATAGGATGAGGTCTCATTTTGATAAATCCATACATGTATGTAGTATACTTGGAATAAGTTCACTACCTCCATTATATTCCTATTTCCCCTTTCTCCTCCCCATTTTTTGCTTGTGTATTTTCTTGTCTTAAAGTTAGATACTAGATGAGAGTTAAGGAATTACTTTTTCTGTAGATATATGAGTGTGGTTTTTTGCATCCGTTTTCCATGTCACCCTCTTTGTAGATCAATAGGCCTTTTATAGTTAATGAACCATGTTTAAATCAAAGGACTACTGACCTTTTTAAAAAATTATTTAAACAGAATATTCAGTAACAGAACTAATCTGTTTATCTTTTTGTTTTGCAGTGGAACCTCCCCTCTTGCTTGTCTGAATGCAATGCTGCACACAAACTCCCGAGGTGAAGAAGGCATCTTCTATAAAGTCCCAGGTAGAATGGGCGTGTATACTTTAAAGGTAAATATTTTTTGTTGGGTGTCAACATAGAAATAATACACAGACTTCTTTTCTAGAAGAACTCACTTTCAGAAGAGGTAATATCTTCAGCTTTAAACAAAAATTTTTGATTTGTGCTGAGTATTGACCCTAGGGTCTCAAGTCTGCTAAGCATATGCTTTATCATCCTGATTTGCTATTCTACCACTATAGGTAGGACAGAGATTTAACTTTATTCTTTGTTATAATTTTATCTGGAAGGGATGGAATAAAATTGATTTCCAGTGACTTTTTAAAGAACCTCACAGAATTTGAATAGTAACTGTGTGTTACCAGGGAACATACTGCCTTTATGCTTTACATTACTCACTGAGTTCTCTACTGAAACTCAAATTTGTGGTTATTCTTCTTTTTTTAATAATGGAGAAAACTAAAGTTCAGAAAATTTAATTTTCGTGACAAGTGTTGGCCAGACAGTAGTAGAACCAGAGCATGAATCCAGATCTGATGTAACTCCCAAGCCCACCTTAGTATAAAAAGCTGGGTAATGTCTAGTCCTACAATGAGAAGAGACCTTTACTTACAAATATCCTTTTGCTTAGAAACAGAAACACCAACACACATGACCTTGATTTTTTTTTTTTTTTAATTATTCATATGTGCATGTAAGGCTTGGGTCATTTCTCCCCCCTGCTCCCACCCCCTCCCTTACCACCCACTCCACCCCCTCCCTCTCCCCCCCTACCCCCTCAATACCCAGCAGAAACTATTTTGCCCTTATTTCTAATTTTGTTGTAGAGAGAGTATAAGCCATAATAGGAAGGAACAAAGGTTTTTGCTAGTTGAGATAGGATAGCTATACAGGGAGTTGACTCACATTAATTTCCTGTGCGTGTGTGTTACCTTTTAGGTTAATTCTTTTTGATCTCACCTTTTCTCTAGTTCCTGGTCTCCTTTTCCTATTGGCCTCAGTTGCTTTTAAGGTACCTGCTTTAGTTTCTCTGCATTGAGGGCAACAAATGCTAGCTAATTTTTTAGGTGTCTTACCTATCCTCATACCTCCCTTGTGTGCTCTCGCTTTTATCATGTGCTCAAAGTCCAATCCCCTTGTTGTATTTGCCCTTGATCTAATGTCCACATATGAGGGAGAACATACGATTTTTGGTCTTTTGGGCCAGGCTAACCTCACTCAGAATGATGTTCACCAATTCCATCCATTTACCAGCGAATGATAACATTCTGTTCTTCTTCATGGCTGCATAAAATTCCATTGTGTATAGATACCACATTTTCTTAATCCATTCATCAGTGGTGGGGCATCTTGGCTGTTTCCATAACTTGGCTATTGTGAATAGTGCCGCAATAAACACACACATGACCTTGAGTAAGAGAATTTATTAGCTAGTGTAACTAAAAATTGTAAGGAAACCCAGTCTTAATCCAGGTGCTCAAGTGATGTCATCTGGTCTTGTTCTTTCTACTTTTTCTCCTCATCATACATGACTTCATTCCCAGTCTCCATTCTGTAGACTTCTAAGTCTAGAGAGAGAAGAATTCAGGAGCTAAAGTAGGAGCCTCCCATATAATTGGTTTGGCTTGCATGTGGCCATACCTGAGTGATAACTGTTGCCAAATGTATAGATTCTTCTGCTTGGCCAGTCTTGGCATCACTGTCACCTTTGGTATAAGGTTAAGATTAAAGTTGTGCAGCCAAGTGATTTGAGAAAAGGGGTTGTTCCCTAAAGGAAGTTTATCACCAGATGGAGAATAAATTCTTGGCAGGCAGTGACTGTGTCCATTTCTACATGGGGCACCCTGTTACATTTTTAGCTCTGAGCTGTAATCATCACAATGCTAAGTGGTTGTATGCAGCCCATCAACATTAAAAAGATCTAACTCCCAGCCGTGGTTGCTCATACCTGTAATTCTAGCTACTCAGAAGGTAGAAATAGGGAGAATCACAGTTCAAGTCTAGCCTAGGCAAAAAGTTAGAACCCATCAAAACCAATTTAAAAAACTGGGCACCTGTCATCCCAGGTACATGGGAAACTTAAACAGGAGAATCCAGGGCTAGGCTGGCTTAGGCAGAAATGTGTAACCCATTTGAAAAATAACTAAAGCAAAAAGGCTGGAGGCATGACTCAAACCGTAGAGCCACCCACCTTGCATGTGCGAAGCCCTGAGTTCAAACCCCAGTGCTGCCTAGATAAAGAAACAAACTTCCTATACCCTGTTTGTTTACTGTAGTTAACTTCCTGGTTTTATAGAACTTAATTCCCACCTGGAACATTCTGCTTTTTTTTGTTTGTTTTTGAGATATTAGCTGTTCTAGACCTTTCATAATTTTTAAAACATTTATTAAATGTCTACTTTGTTTTAGAGTTAGGAAAACACAAAGTGTTTATTCTGTTCTCACACACCAAGCAATTCTCCAGTAGACACCCAGTGAGTGCCCTCTAATTAAGCTCAGTTTTTCATTTCTTATACTGTGTACCTGTAGCTAGTGAAAGAGCCCACAGTTTTAGGACTCATTCCCACAAGATTGCCCCTCACCTTAGATTCTGGTTTACAAGTCCTTGGTTGTGACCCAACCTCTGACAAACTGGTTAAAATCAAGGTTCATGATCTTCTTGGATTTGATTAATAGCTAAGATGGCTCATAGAAGTAAGGGAAATGTTTTACTTTCTTTTCATACTTACTATAAAGGATATTACTTCCCACTTACTGTAAAGGATATTTCTAAGTGTACAGATGAATAGCCAGATAGAAAAGATAAACAGAGTGAGATGTGGCCAAGGAGCATGGAGGCTGTATACTCTCTTGGCATACCACCCTCTGGTCACCTACACAGTCAACTTTCTAGAAGCTCATCCAAACCTCTGCCCTTTTGGTTTTGAATGGAGGATTCATTATATAGGTATGATTGATTTTTGTTGTTGGCCATTGGTGTCAACTCATCCGTCAGCCCCTCTCTTGGTGGGCTCCTGGGAGATTGAGGTGAAAGATCCAACCATCGAATCACATAGTTGGCTTCCTTGGCCCCTATCCTGAGGCTGTCTTGGAGCCCACTCAGAGTCATCTCTTTTGGACAAAGGGTGCTTCTAATCACCCAAGAGATTGCAAGAAATGTAGGTACTCTTCTGTCAGGAACTGGGGTCAGTGACCAAATATCAGAACAAAAGGTTGTCCTAGTGCCTCTGCTACTCAGGAAATTACAAGAGTTGTCAGGAATCAGGTTCAGAGACCAAATAGTACTATTTCTCATATTTCACAGTATTCAGTTTGTGTCAGAATCATACATGCTATAAAGAAGGATAAACTAGTTTTTGGTCTCTTGAAGCTTTTATTTTAGTTATTGAAATAATTAAAATGTGTTGTGTTCTAAAGTACCATGAAAGCAAAGTGAAATAAAGATCCAATTTTGAATAAAGGGATCTAGAAAATTTTTGTTGTTGTTTACTTGTAAGATTTCAGTTGGATTTTGGCAGATAAGTAATGGGATAAGGGCCTTCCAGGACATGAAAATAGCACAAGAAAAAGGGACAGATAAGATTCAAACTGGATTTCAAAGTACAGAAAATTGGAGTAGCTAAACCATAGTCTTTGTGTGAGATTCTGTGGTAAGGAGTTGAGGCATGGTAAAAATTAGGTAGTGGTCAAACTTCAGAAGCCTTAGAGCCTGATTCAGCAGTTGGGGTGTGTGTGTATTTGTTTGTTGTTATAAACTTTAGAGGCTTGTGTGTGTGTGTATTTGTTTGTTTGTTGTTGTTGCTATAAACTTCAGAGGCTTTTGATCCTGATTGAGCAGTTGATAAGTGTGTGTGTGTGTGTGGTTGTTACTGTTATAGATGGCAGAGGTTTTTCAGGACAAGAATGTGACCAAATCTATGTTTAAGAAAATAATTGAACTAGGATAGACTTTAGGGTGAAGCAGAAAAAAAGGTGGTTGTAGTTGTTTGGAGGAGAAACTCCAGCCTTAAACTAAGAGAGTGGTAAACAAGATGGAGGCTAGGACCTTAGAGAAGTTCAATATATTGCATTTGGAGAGGTAAAAGGGGGGAGGGTGAAAATATTCTGAGATTTGCAGCATGAGCAGTTGATGCCAAAGGGATCCCAGTAGGGATCACAAGTGTTTTTGTTTTTTAACAAAAAGAAGATAATTATATTTGTATTTCAGATACTTGTTGAACCTACAGGTCAAGATGTCTGCCTCGCAACTAATTATAAAAGCTGTCCTGCATTTTGAAGGAAGGAATAGAAAATTTTGGGGTCTGTATTTTAAGAAAGTGTGTAATGTAAGAGATGGTTTAGAGAGAAGCTTAAATGGAAAATAACTCTTCTTTCTAGATCAGTGTTTATGATCTTGGCTATAAAATGTCATATGGGTATCAATTATACATAGGCAAGTCACATTTTGTGTATCATAGTTTTTTAATCTGATTATATGTGAGAAAATAAAATATGGTGGGAAAATCCATAGTTTTATAATTTAGAAATAACATTCATTGGTCTATTTGTTTGTACATGTATGTTTTTATATACTGCATAAGTACACAGTAACTCAACGTTTATTGAACTCTTTCTTAGGCCATTCACTTTTCTAAGCCTTTTATATTAATTAGCTCATTTAATTTCTGATTGACCTTTCAAGGTAGGTACTGTTTTCTCCACCTTAAAGACAGGGAAATGGAGGTATGGGAGGAAAAGATAAAAGCCAGAAAGTCTTGTTTCCTGGTCCTTGATATTGCAGCTGTCCTCTTAGATCTCTCACATAATGAGATGATGTTATTAACTGCTTAAACCAAAGAGGTTGTAAAAATGGATCTGTGGGGAGCAGATTATGAGAAGCCTATGAGAATTTGTCATAGGCACAGTTGTGCTCAATAATCTGCAGGCTGTGTTTGGCATGGCCCCAGCTGCAGAAGAGAGCAAGAAGCAGAATCCAGCACAGCTGCTTTTTCTAAGTTGTTTGCATTTAGAGAAGTAGGAATGCAGGTTTCTCTTGTTACAGTGTCATGCCCTCCCCCCAAGAACTGTTGCTCCACCTCCTGGATATAAAAGACTTGCTGAAGAAGGTTGAGGGGTTTTTTCATTGGTAGGCTACTTGCTGAACTACGCAGTTGACTGCTGCTGCTGCAGAGTTATGCTAGAGATTAAAGGGAACATGGGACAGTGCAAGTCTGAGCACCAAGACTTTAAGAAAGCTAAAGAGAAAACATGGGACAGTGTGAGTCTAAGGAAAGAGACTTTAAAAAACAGAAAAGTAGACTTTAGAAGCAAGGTTTTAAAGAAAGATTTTAGAAGTAAGGCCTTAAAGAGTAGAGAAGAAAAGAAACAACAAGGCTGTTGTGCTTCTCCATCCGAGGGCTTCTCCATCAGAGGGCCCAACACACCTGGCCCCAACTTTCTGCATGTCTGTCTTCTTTTTGTTTGTCCTTTCTGCATCTCCTGTCACCCCCAGTTAACCCAGTTAGTTGAGGGAGAACAAGGGAGCAAGAGAAAGCTCGCTCCATGGATCCCTTTCTTACTTTGATTGAATGATTCCTTGCTCTTTACTATTCAATATTCAGGAACCAAATAGATTGAAATAATGTATTATCCCTTGCTATCCAGACTGTATTTCTCTTAATTAAATCCAGAATGCATAGGGCATACATACTCACACTCGAATGTACACATGCTTAATAAAATTATTATTACATAATTTTTTTATCCTGAACATTTCACCATTTCCCTGTACTTATACAACTTTTGTCTAATTTAAGCCTGTGTATTGTGCCTGCATATGAATCGTGTGTATAATTTTTATCTTTGCATGGAGATGGAGACATTCACTTATTTGACCCAAAGAAAAGGATGACAAGAAATTGAAAAAAAAAATTCTGTTTTTGCCCATGTATTATATTACTAAAAATTAGTGCAGTTAAGTCACAACATTGCATATTAGAAATTCAATTCCTGTTTGCTGAAATGTTAATAATTAATCCTAACTGGGATGCCTACATTTTCAGAAAGATGTACCAGATGGGGTGAAAGAGCTATCAGAAGGTTCAGAAGAAAGCAGTGATGGTCAGTCAGATTCTCAGAGTTCTGAGAACAGCAGCAGCAGCAGTGATGGCGGCAGCAACAAAGAGGGAAAGAAGAGCAGGTGGAAAAGGAAAGGTAAAACCCCGGGGTCCTTGGATAAGGTGCTGAATGCTGTAGAGTAAATGCTTTTGTTGGTGGTTCCTCGTTTCCCAGACCCCAGGCCCATCAGTCTCTGTCCTTGCCCTCTAGGTCAGTGTTCTCTAGTAGTTTCCTGCAGTGATGGTAATGTTTGTTTCCATACTGTCCAGCACAACAAAACCACTAGCTTCGTGGACCTATTTTGGCTACTATGACCAAGGAATTTCTTTTAAAAAAATGTTTTCTTTTTTTTTAGGGAGATTACAGGTCCCGATGTGTTTCATGTACTCACTGAAATATGCATAGACTTGTCCACTTTCAAGATCCCTCACTAGAGTAGTTCATTTGATACAGTTCATGAACTTGCATTGGCACATCGTTACCACGCAGTGTCATAGTTTACACTGGAATTCACTCTTGGTGGTGTGCATGCTAAGGCTTTGGACAAATATTTAACGTATAAAGACATATATTTACCATTAGACTATCGTATAGAGTAGTTTCACTGCCCAAAAAAGTCCTGTGTGCTCCATCTATTCAAACTCCTCTCCGATGCCTGGTAACCACTCATCTTTTTACTGTCTTCATAGTTTTGCCTTTTCGAGAATGTTTCATAGGTAGAAGCTTTCCACATTGGCATCTTTCATTTAGTAATGTGTGTTTGAGGTTCTTCTGTGTCTTTCCATGGGTTGATAGCTCGTTTCTTTTTAGCACTAAATAGTATTCTATTTTATTCATTCTCCTATGGAAGGATGTTGGTTGTTTCTGTGTTTTGGTAATTTTGAATAAAGCTGCATGTAAACTTCTGTGTGCAGTTTATGCATAGGCATAAGTTTTTCACTTCTTTTGGATAAATACAATGGAGTGTGATTGCTGGATCATATGGTAAGAGTATGTTAAGTTTTATAAGAAACTGCCAAACTATATAAGAAGTAGCTGTACCATTTTGCATTCCCACTACCAGAGATAGAAAGTTGCTGTTTCTTTACATCCTCAGCACCTTATTTTGTCATTGTTCTGGGTTTTGGCCCTTCTGATGTCTCATTTAATTTGAATATCCCTGATTACATGTAATGTGGAACATCTTTGTGTGCTTTATTTGCCATGTGTGTATGTTCTTTGGTGAGATTTCTGTTCAGGTCTTTTGGTCTATTTTTGATAGATATTTTTATTAGATATGTCTTTTGCACATATTTTCTCCAAACCTATGGCTTTTTTGTCTCTTGGCTGTTTCTTTTCTCTTCCTCTCCCTCCCTTCTGTTTTCTGGCTTTTTGACCTTGAGATTGGGTCTCACTGTATAGCCCAGGCTGGCCCTAAACTGGTAATCCTCCTGCCTTAGCCTCCTGTGTGCTAGAATTACATGTGTGTGCTACCATACCTGGCTTTGGCATAGAGCAGAAGTTTTTAATTTTAATTCAGTCCTGGTTATGACTTCTTTCTTTTGTGTGGATTGTGTCTTTGGTGTTGTGTGTAAAAAGTCATCACCAAACCTAGGACCATCTTCATTTTCTCTTATGTTATCTTCTAGGACTTTTATAATTTTTACTTTGTATTTAAGTCTGTCATCCATTCTGAGTTAATTTTTTAAAAACATTGTCTTTTGTCAGCTTTTTATTTTTTAATTGTTTGCAGTACTGGGGTTTGAACTTAAGGGTTTACACTTGCCAGGTGGGTACTCTACCACTTGAGCTACTCCACCAGCCCCATTTCCCCCCCCCCTTTTTTTTTTTCTCTTTTTTGTACCATTTATTTATTTATTATTTTATTATTCATATGTGCATACAAGGCTTGGGTCATTTCTCCCCTCCCTTTTTTTTTTTATTTATATGTGCATACAATGTTTGGGTCATTTCTCCCCCCTTCCCCTACCCCCTGCTTTACCCCCGCCCCACACCCCTTTGCTACCCGGCAGAAACTATTTTGCCCTTATCTCTAATTTTGTTGAAGAGAGAGTATAAGCAATAATAGGAAGGACCAAGGGTTTTTACTAGTTGAGATAAGGATAGCTGTACAGGGAGTTGACTCACATTGATTTCCTGTGCATGTGTGTTACCTTCTAGGTTAATTCTTCTTGATCTAACCTTTTCTCTAGTTCTTGGTCCCCTTCTCCTATTGGCCTCAGTTGCTTTAAAGTATCTGCTTTAGTTTCTCTGCATTGAGGGCAACAAATGCTAGCTAGTTTTTTAGGTGTCTTACCTATCCTCATACCTCCCTTGTGTGCTCTTGCTTTATCATGTGATCAAAGTCCAGTCACGTTGTTGTGTTTGCCCTTGATCTAATGTCCACATATGAGGGAGAACATACGAATTTTGGTCTTTTGGGCCAGGCTAACCTCACTCAGAATGATGTTCACCAATTCCATCCATTTACCAGTGAATAATAACATTCTGTTCTTCATGGCTGCATAAAATTCCATTGTGTATAGATACCACATTTTCTTAATCCATTCATCAGTGGTGGGGCATCTTGGCTGTTTCCATAACTTGCCTATTGTGAATAGTGCCGCAATAAACATGGGTGTGCAGGTGCCTCTGGAGTAACCTGTGTCACATTCTTTTGGGTATATCCCCAAGAGTGGTATTGCTGGATCATATGGTAGATCAATGTTTAGCTTTTAAAGTAGCCTCCAAATTTTTTTCCAGAGGAAATAAATTTCCAGAGTTTTGCTTTTTAAGTGCCACATGTGCTGCAGAAGCTATTTTGAGTAGTGACTTTTGCCACTGCTTAGTTGCCAGAGTTTTCTGCTTAGAACTAATGGTTATTAATGACTATCTCTAAGAATTTGAGGTAGATACATTATGATATGGAAATAGTTAAGAATAACCATAGAACCCCATTGTCATAGCTTAGTAGATACATTTGAGTAGCATAGGCTGGCTTTGCACTCTGCATAATAATAGACATTAACAGCAAGGTAATAGCAAATCAAAAATTGTTTTGAGCTGCCTTTGATTCATTTATTCATCACAATGTTGGTTATTTGTCCTCGAATGACAGTAAGATGAGATGTTGTGTAGTTTTTTTCTGGTTGTGAGTAGTCGAAGCTGAGAGGAGAATGGTTTGGAAGGTGGGGTAGGAGGGGCACAAGGTGTCATAGGAAACTCGTTTCTGCCTAAGCAGCTCTGGTATCTCAGGAAATGGATTCACGCCAAACTACCAGTAATAAAAATTACTACATGGTCACTCATATGATACAGTTAGCTGTAACTTTTTTAGGTATATTATATATTATTATTTTTGTAGTCCACTGGAAATTAATGTGACAGACTTGTAGTCAGCAGTAATAGTAGCAGCATGCAACAAGGCAGTTTTAAATCAGTTGTAGTGCTCAGTAAAGGTAAAGCAAACTAATTGTGCTTACTCCTTTTTCTTACTGAGGGCTTTTACTCTCAGTCTGACATCACTTTATTTTAAATTCATTGTAAGACAGGAAGAACACTGAGATAGTATCAAAACCCACTTCCTTTTATGTGCAAAAATAAAGAGCCCTGACAGCAAAACTGATACCTTTAGTTGAAAATGGATTAGAAACTCTCATGATACATGTGTACCTTTCAACCAGATAGAAACTGAGACTAAAACTTTGAAGTTCAGTTCAATATTAAAAGTAGCTTATTGATTTCTGTGTGAAGTAGAGGAAATCAAAAGTTTGTAGTTTGGTTTTTAGTTTTCAGACAGGAAACAATGTTCAGAGAAGAACTTTATGGAATTCCAAGCCAAGGTAAGGTGGAGTAACTCCAGAAAAATGATTACTTAAAGTCAGCTACTTCTGTTGCTAAGTTAAGTCTCTGCCTTTTCCCCAAAATAAATTGTAAATAACTGTAGCATGAAGCAGCTGCATGAGTATGATTTTTATGTTCTGATAAAGAAAAGCTTTGCTAGGTTTTTATCTACTTTTAAATTGTCTTAATAAAAAAATCAGTTATGGGAAATACTTCTTTTACTGTAAGGAATCACTATTTCCAGGAGTATGCACTAATATTAATTTAGCTACTTGTTCAGAACTACTTTAAATCAGGAATTTGATACATATTTTGCATGGAGTTATTTAAAATACCCTAGACCTGCCCATCCTCTAAATCATTTAGATATTTATATATAATGAATAGGGAAAATTATGTCTTCAAAAGTATCCCGAGGCAAAACTTTGGCCAAAGTTAACTTAGGTGGGAAAACTTTGGGAGATGTTCTCTTTCTGTTGTTGGTAGTGACTTGAGTTAAGGGTTTAAGCTCTGTCTTGTATTAAATATGGCCACATAGTTAGGACGCATACAGTGAGGGTAACCAGAAGCAATGAAGATGTTCCAGTATGGCCTTTCTTGTTTTGTTTAGGAGACTCTGAATATAATCAAGAATCAGTTTGCAGTAGACCGCACTTGGGGGAGCAAGAGATTTAGCACTTGCTTCTAGAAATGAAGTTCCTCTTATGAAGTTTCTCTAAAGAGAAACTATTAGGATTAAAGCTTTACCCTCAAGAGAAGTCACATAGTGTAGAACAAAACTATTTTCAGAACTCAAGTTGTTATCAGTTCTTTACCTGTTTTGTTGGTTTTTTGGTTGGTATTTTGTTATTACTGCTCCAGTGTTTCTGATAGTCTCGCCAATACTTCACTGAGGCCCATTGAATGCCCTTAGGAGAAAGTAAAATTTAAGTTAGAGATTATGTACTAAAGTCGTAATTCAGTGCACCTGTATTAATAGGCCTTATCCTTTTAACATTGTTCACTTTTACAATCATCTTTGGACATGGAAAACTCTCCTTGTTTTCATGTATCTGAAAAGAGCAGTACCTTCTGAATTTATACTCCAGCAACCCAAAACCACTTTAGAAACCGTGTAAAATGACTTTGATGAGCCTTAAACTTCAAAAGTTTGTTTTAAATTTTTTTCTGAAAACAATATTAAGCTTAAATTTTTAATTTTATGTCAATTAAAATAAAAATTTAGTTACAAAAATTATTGTTTTGTTGGTTTTTTGGTTGGGTTTTGTTTTGTT